GCTAGCTTACGCAATACTCGTTCCCTCATCTAGAGAGAACCGAGGTTACGTTAGGTAACCGATTCGTTATACAGTTATACAGTAGGCAGTGCTTCTTCTGAAAGAGTGCAGAATCTCTTGATCAAAACACAAGGAAAAAAGTAGGAGAAACAAGCAGTAAAATCATTGTTTATGCACACTGTACTCTTTAACAAAACACGGTTTTCTCAGTCTTTTGTTCAAAATGTTGCTTTTTTTTTTTTTTTTTTTTTAATTGATTGATATATTTGTGATATATTGTATGTTCAGAGATTCAGTCAAAATACTAAATATTTTGGGGGCCATGGAAATTTTATGAAAATTATCAAAAATGGCAGTGGGAACTGGCAGTGGGGAAAGAGTTTTCATGCATTTAGAAAAAGAGATAAGGTGAAACTTCATTTTATGCTGACTTTAACGAGGTCAGGGCAACATTTTAAAAGAATCTATAAGGTTAAAAGTCATACAGACCACGAGGGTTAAAAATAAAATGGAAACAAATAAAGACATTAAAGTGTCTTCAAGTCCCCTGCTTAACAAATCAACAAATAAACAGTCTCGCATAGGTTTTTAATCCATCTCTCTCTCTCTCTCTCTCTGCTGTGAGTTTATGTAGCTTTCTATATGTGCTTCAATATCTATATATATATATATATATATATATCTAAGAAGTGTGTATAATAAAATGTTTTTTTTTTAAAATAGAGACACAGCTAACCTGTTTTCAAGAATATCAGACTTCCAACTACACAGGACACAGAAGTGGAAAGCGTAGTTTGATAGAATGATTTGGAGAATAGGTGTGTGAGGAGAGATACACAGTGTACAGTGTGAGAGATAATGTGTGTGAGTGGCGCTATGAGCCGACACACACACACACACACACTTAGCACATCACTGGCTCCCCTCCTGAGGCAATCATTACAGGGATTTGTTCTGCTTGCACTTATAGTTTTAGCAGATCAATCGGAGAAGCATGCGCTAAAGCCCATTATTAGTTCTAAGGGCAATCTTAGTTTCGGGTGGAGAGGGGGTGGATTGTCCACACTGTGCTGCTTGTTTGAAACGTGGCTCCTTCAGAAGCATCCATGACTGTGAACAACATTCCCCGGAGATGAATGAGAAAATCAATTAGGAGGTGAGAAGCGTTTAGTGCTATCAGTACATGCAAAAACAAATTCATTTAGTGTAATGGAGGCGCCTGCCCTCAGAGATCTGACTGCGACTCTGAAATAACTGGTATATGTTTTATAACATCATAACGTAGAGATCATACAATGACAGAATCACAACGGATTCTGTGCAAATCTAAAATGAAACCTAGTTTCAAAACTTAGTCCACTGGCTAGAAAGCCTATGTATGTGCGCTGCCGATGCAAAGGAAGACCTGTAGGGATATTTTGGGTTAAGTTCAATAAGTTTGGCTGAATCGTCAGAATTTGTGGCATAAAGTTTATTACCTTCTCCTTTCTTTAAAACAACCAAGAAACTGTGTTTCAGTGAGGCGTTTACAATGAAGGTGCATGGAGCCTATTTGTAAAAGATAAAATACTCACTGACTACGTTTACATGCCGCCAATAACCCGTTCAAAACCGGGATATTAGCAATAACCCGGTCGCGAACGACCATGTAAACATCGGCAAAAACCTGAATATGCTCATATCCCGGATTTTTAAAACCGGGATATTATACCTGGGGTACCCATTTTCTAACCCGAATTTCTGGTCTAGTAAACACGTATAGACATATCCCCATAGTGATTTGTGTTCTGCGCATGTTCTATTCGCAAGGAATCTTGGTCTTTTGAGTAGAGAAACTTCTTGACACAGCACAGCATTCTTTTTTGAGCGAGGTCAGTAACGTTACCAGCATCAAAGCGCAAACAAAGGCGATCGCTATCTGCCCCAAACTATTCATTATCCGCGTGCTGCTGTTGTTGTTGTCGTCTTTGGAGACAGGAGGAAGAATCGGAAATGACGCATATTGCATCTTAAGGTTGTCCGTACGTCTAGACGCTAACCGCGCGTCGCCGTTTACATCGGGATATTGCAATTCCATGTATACAGGAGAAGCTCTCTCTGCTCATGCATGTAAACGGGTTATTCCTAATGTTTCATAAAACCAAATAGTGACCTTAACCCGACCATAACCCGAAAATTGGCTGCATGTAAACGTAGTCACTGTTTAAATTAGCCTGAATACGTCAGACTTCCTACTTCCGCTAATTTCATTACACTCCTGTAGCCAGTCTGAGATAGCTGCCTATCTTTCAGTTTTTGCAGCAGCCTTCGGACGGCCAGAGGGCAGGCTAAGAGCCATGACGTAGACGCTAAGCGCGGAGTTTTACATTGTAGGTTAGAGAAATTGAATGGGAAACGAGACACGGGATGCAATTCGCTTTGTTATGGAGAACATTCTGGGGGTTTTCAAACTGAAGCCAGAATTAGAAGAGTGTTTGATAAACCTTTTAAATGGAGGTGATGTTGTGGCCCTACTCCCGACTGGTTTTGGGAAAAGTTGAATTTATCAGTTGTTACCGTTAGTTACGTCTGTCTACGAAGCAAAGTGAAGTAGCAGAGTCTGGTATTATCAGGCTAGAGAAACAAAGAGCTGTGTTTAAAAGATCTAATCCTAAGTTTGAGAGTTGGCTACAAATATTTTCTTGTTTCACTCTGGTACAAATAAGTTTAAAGGCCGTTATTGTACCGTGGATGCGTAGATTAACTTTGCATAATCTGCAAAAGTCGTTTACAACCATGTTCACTCCGGTATTTCGCGCGCATCATAAAGTGTTTACAGCAGGATTACAGTGGAATTTCGATCATAGATTTGAGTTCGATGCATGATGTCTGTGGTTCGATGCGGCATTGTTGGCGCATCACATAGGTCATAGATAAACTTATCTTATTGGCTTACGGGTAACCAATGATTTTAAACTTCAGAAAAGCTCCCCCTAGAGAGAAAACACTACTCTATGATGCCATTCCAGACTCTTGTCTACGAAGCAAAGTGAAGTAGCAGAGTCTGATTACCAGGCTATGTTTAAATAGCCAAAAGAGTAATTGCGGAGAGATTGTGAGATTTTTTTTTTTTTTTTTTTACATCAAGTTTTTTAACATCTACTCTCGTGTAATAGAAATCATTATGAACATCAGCTATGCTAATTATTTTCCATTTTGCCTTTCTGCTGTTATCTCGGTATGCTAGTCCCGATAAAAATGGCGTTCGTCAGCTCCAGTTTGTGTCCAGCCTCGTACGGAGACTTCAGATGCCCCAACACCTGCGATGAGGCGACTAAACGCCTGTGAAGAGACGACTCGATGCCTGTGAAGAGACAACTCAACACCAGCGATATGTTATGCCCTAAATTATTAAATGATTAAATAAATGTATTTTCCATGCACTTTTCTGTAATGCACTTTTTGTAAAGCTGCTTTGAAACAATATGTATTGTGAAAAGCGCTATAAAAAATAAATTTGAATTGATAAAAATAACATAAAATATGTATGCATGTATGTATGTTTTTTAATTTATTTATTTTTTAATAGGCTTTTCTGTCTATTTACGCCGTAACCACTGTACCCGGTCGTCATAGCGACGCCTTTCGTTCCTCGTTGCCCCATCAAGCTCTCGCTGGATCCTCTCTTCGGCCAACAAAAAAAGGGAAGTCTGCACCTCCTCGTTTGACCACGGCGTATTCTTCCGAGTTGCCATAATAATAGTAGTTAGTTTAGTAACTATCTCTGGACAAACTATTTTAAAATGGCGGGGTTATTCTGGATACTACATCTGGCACGTGCAATGATGATAAAGTGTATGGTGACGACTCTCTCTGACCAATCAGCAGTCGGCATTGTTTTCACGTCACATTTTAGTATCGCCTAAGCTCGCTCAGAACCTCGCCGGAGGTGATACAAAAAAAGTACCCAAAAGCAGGTACAGGTACAACTTTTACACAGTGGAAAAGTAAACAAAGGCGAGCCGAGCCGAGTCGAGTCGGTACTGTGTAGTGGAAAAGCGTCATAAGTTACAACTTGTGCGCTATAAATATGTGTGCATTGCGTCATTACACAATTTGAAACAGAAGTCTCTGACCAAGGATCATTCAATTACACAAGGAATGTGCATTAAGTAAATATTCAATTTTTATGGTATATTGGCATTAAAGACATTTCCATTTCATGCTCCCATTTACATCCAGTAAATTTCATGCATTTCAGTCTCTCAAGATCTGGAGGAGGTTGCACAGGGTGTCAGATGAAGTCTGCCCTGGAAACCAATGACACTCTGCTTCCTTCAAGTGAAGTGGAAGGGGCAGTCAGGTGGTTATCAAGTGCGTGATTGTTACGTAACTAAACGCATCATGTTCTGTTGTTTTGTTGTTGTTGTTGTTGTTTTTATCTGCTGGGCTAATTGAGTAAAAGTGAGTTTGTTTCATGAAGGGAATGGCAGTGAGATGGGAACCAGGGCTTACATCACAGAGATGACATTGTGTCCTCCCCCTGGCCTCTCTGACACTCAGGTCAGATTATATAAGCAAACCCTCTCTCCTTCCCTCTCTTTACGTCAGGAGTGCACAGAGTCAGTTCTTTTAGTGTACAAAATGTAAAGCAGCCAAAAGCTGAACTGAAATGAACTGGTGACTCCCAGCTCATACCACTTTTAAGCTTCCGAGAGACAAAAAAACACATGGATGAAGTCAAAACAATATGAAACCCTACGGTCTAAAAATACTTACTCTTCCACTTGGCTTCTATTCTATACGTCATAACAATTGTCAGGGCCACCCACTGGGAAATATCATTCGTTCAAAATCATGCTTCTCATTACCACATATTAATCATCAAATATGTTCTGATTAGCTGTTGCTATTGACGTCACGCAGAATTAGAGAAATGGCAGTGTTAGATTTCATGAAGTAAGAGATAGAAAAATTAGGAAAGATAGGAAAAGCAAAAAAAATAAAGTGTTTGAATTTACCTGATTCTTTTTCAGGAGCAAAAATGAATCACCAGGTGATCACAGACCTGAAGGTGAAAGAAAGAGAGATGTATGAGGACTTGGAAAATAATAGATGTTAATATTGTTCATATTAAACAGTTTTGTTTTGTTTTTTTTACAGTTTTTTTTTTAATCATATATATATATATATATATATATATATATATATATATATTATATATATATATAAAATTGCAAAAAAAATATGTGATTAAAAAAACTATAAAAAATATATATATATATATATATATATATATATATATATATATAATTGCAGGAAAATATGTGATTAAGAAAACTGTAATATATATATATATATATATATATATAAATGTATTTTTGTAAGATCCACAGTACTTATATACTATTTCCTATAAATCAAATAGGAATTCATATACAATTTCAATAAAGGAATTCATAAAGGAATATAAAGGAACGTACAATGAAGGAATTCATATACAACTTCATACTGTCACGGTGCCGGTGGAGTGTAGGCAGAAGAAGGAGAACAAGAGGCAAATGCTCCAATGCAAACACTTTAATTTAACTCAGAATAGCAAACAGGCACGGGTACAGTCAGGAATACACTCACGACACGGAAGGGTAACATCAACATCGACCGAAAATGACAGACTGAATGAGGAGGAACTAAATACACAGGGGAATCAAACATAATGAGGTGCAAACAGGTGAAACAGGACGCTGAACGGGAGGCTGATGAGGGAGTGAGTTCAGGTGTGCAGACGAGAGGATCATGGGAAGTGTAGTGCTGAAGACAAGACAGACTGGTGCAGACGAGGACTGTGACACATACATTCATAAAAGTGTTTTTTTTTTTTTTTTTTTATCTCACCAAGACAGGCATTTTGGCATAATTTTGTGTGTATTTTACCACTAGTGTGTATTTGACAGTGAAAGTACTTAACTTAGCCTATTTAACTGACAAACTTTTTTAACATCAAGCATGCGCCACGCTGCATTTTTAAATTCATGCACATGTCTTTCTTACATGTCAAAAACTTTAAGCAGCTCTGCAGTTATATTTACACACTGTGATGCACAAAACAGAAAAATCTCTATCGATTGACACTTTAAAAGTTCCATACATATAGTGTATTGCCATAACAACTGTACTATAAACTTTCTAGGACAATGAGCTCTGGAATAACAGTGAATTTATTTAAAAACAACATAAGCAGAAAACTTAAAAAGAAGACTAGGAAAGACAAACAAAAGAAAAAGTTACAGAATGCTAATTATGAGGTTCCACTTGTCTGTTTGAGGAACATCCTGTTTGAATGCACAGGTAGGAGGTGGGGGGTCTGTTTCCTCTCCAAGGGCCTACAGACGCACTCCCTACCCACATAGTGTCTCTTTTGTTGTTTGATAAATTGACACTGCCAGTTCCCCACGTTGCCAAGACATGAGGAAGACCGCCGGGGAAAAGAAGTAGGAGCAGCGGCGCTACATGTGATTGGTATCACTTCTGACTGACTCTCTTCATGTTTTTATCTGCACTGTCTCCACAGGCATTAATTTCAAAGCTCTGATTGAGGGTGCTAAGACTATATAGCTAAGCTATATATATCATTGTGTTCAGTCAGCCATCCATATCATTGAATAAGTTGTATCCTGCCAGATAAGCCAATAGTTCAGACAGACACCCATCAGCCATACCAAATCCTAAATTGTATTATTAACATATAAGGTTACAACAAAAGGCCCATTTCAAGGCCATCCAGTACCTGACAGTGCAATGCACCATAGTTAAATATATTACACAAAAAGTGGCATACGCTCTTTCCTTTTAAAATAAAGCATTTTACTCTAGACCCAAGTTTCACAGACAAGGCTTAAGCCTTTAGTCCCAAACTGAAAGCAACAATATATATATATATACTGTATATATATATATATATATATATATATATATATATATATATATATATATATATATATATAGGCACATTTATAAAAGCTACTTAAATGTTCTAATTGAAGGCCTAATCCTGGCTTAGTCTAAGCCTTGTCTGTGAAACCAGGCCTAAATCTTTGAAAAGTAGTGTAAAAGCAGTGTATCGATGAAATTGTCATGAAAATGTTTTGTGTTTTATAGTTTTTGTTTGAGTTAACCATTGCCTCATTAAAAGAAAAAAAGTTGTGTTTTTTTGGCTCCTGACACTTTGCAATTAAACTGAAGAAAACTAAAATCAGTCCATGACATTTTTGCCTCTAAACCCCATTTTTCAAGCAGCGCAGGAGAAAAGCATCATGTGATTTTCAGAATCTCCATCCAACAAGCAGTGAAATACGACTCAAAGAAATCTAGCTGAAAGCTGGCAAAGTTTCTGTGCCGTTGGAATGACAACACTAATAAATGAAATAGACTCATAAATTCTTCATGGCCAGTGGCCATAAGTGAATCCATAACTAAAGAACAATCTGTTGCATTCACATCTGCGTGACGACGACCCTCTCTTATGTAATTGATAAAATAATAATTTTTCCAAGAACATTATGAAAGCCTGTATTTGCAAAATAGGTGACTCATTGAATTGAGGGGGGGGCATTATTTACTTAGCCTCATGTCTTTCCAAACCTATACGACTTTCTTTGATTTCCTATGGAACACAAAAGGAGAATGATTGAATGATATCCTGGAGAGTCTTTTCTTTTTAATAATGAAAGTAAATAGAAACTGGAACTTGTAAGGCTACACAATGACAATGGCCTTTTGTAAGGTACACATGCAAGGTCATTTTTAGCATAATGGCTCTTTGCTAAGGTGGATCAGTGCTTAAAAGTCCACTACCTTGACCCTTGGTTCACTGCAGTCACACATTTAACATGTAGACCTTCACAGGGGCTTAAGTGTTAACAGAGGCCAGGTGGATGCACACAGCATGTGTTACAGAGGAACCAGAGAGCTAACTCAATGTCCAATGAAAAATACATTCGCCTGTTAACTGTGTATTGTGGAGAACAGAAATAACCTGCTACAATTTTAATCACAAGAGCAAAGTAAATCTAATATTAAGGAATGTATACATCTGCTATATATATATATATATATATATATATATATATATATATATAGTATAGTATAGTATGATAACAACTATAACTATAACAACGATAACAAAATTATTCTATTATCATAATGAAGAAATAATAATTATATTGTTGACATGAAACCCTTAAGCATAGTTTAGCATCTTTTATACTGTTTCTCAGGAAAAAGTAATATAGTTACCTCCAAACATGAAAAATAAATACATTTTAAAATGGGATACGATAGAAAGGATCGCAGACCCTAATGACCGTTTATGAAAATCAATAATTCTCTTAAAGGGATAGTTCACCCACACAAACTAATTTTCTCACCTTCAAGTTGTTCCAAACTTGTATACATTTCTTTGTTCTGCTGAACACAAAGAAATATATTTTGAAGACCAAACACTTATGGGGAAACACTGACTTCCATAGTATGGCAACAGAAATACTTAGAATTTTCCACAGAACCATCCCTTTAAGACAACAGAAAATTAACATCAAATTCAGGCTGTAAAATGCCATTTAGTGCTACTCCCCAAAAGCGATAGACGTAAATGAATAATTGAAAATATATATTTTAAGGGTCCCTATTATGCTAATTTACAGGAACAATTTTGTTGAGGGGGTCTACTAGATTGAGTTTTTCAAAAACCTCATTATTTTACTAACTGACATTGTTTCAGCACCTGTTTTCACCATCTGTCTGAACGCTCTGTTTTAGTTCTGTTTTCTTTAAAACCTGCCTTCCGAAAGGCCCAGTCTGTTTTGATTGGTTAGCTGGCCAAGTCTGTTGTGACTGCTCATCACTTAGAGCGTTTCGGAAATATAACGCTCCTTACCATAACCGGCGAGTATCAGCTCCAGAGGCTTCCTGAGGCGCTGTAAATACAACAACCATGCCAAGTATTGCATCAGTTTTGTCATATCAGTTCGAGCCAGAGTCCTATAATGGAATTCAAGAAGAACAAGCTGACTTGTACAGGACATTATACGCTCCCTTTGTGCTTTAAAACTTAGCAGACTGTTCACATGCACAAACAGCTGTATTACACACTAAAGAAAAGTACATATCAAAATGTTACACTCACTTTTGTATGATATTGAGGTCATTATAACATGCAATTTTATGATCTTCAAAAAATGGGCCCTAACTTAATATACATTTAGTATTGCGAGAACCACCGTTCACACGACATGGTGGAGGAGGGAATCATAATTCTCAAAAAAAATGTCCATTAGATATTTCCAGGGAAGGAAAAACATAGTTCTTTCAAGATATTTTGAGCCATGGGGGAGGGCAACATATTTTTGCAAGAACACTGATAGTTCGCCAAACATAAGAGGGGGGAAGAGCAAACATATGAAAGCTTCTAAACAGTTTTTCTTTGTTTTCAGTTCTTTGACAGTGAAAGAGACGGGAATGTGTCTGAGACAGACGCTAATGTTGAAGAGGACCCTGATTATAAGGCATTCTTTAGAATATGAGTCTCATAGACTTTGGCGTACTCAGCGGCATAAAAATAAAAGCCACGCCGTCAAAGTAAAAGTCACAACAACAAGTGTGGCTTAAGTCACTTCAGAGTTCCTACTGGCGTTGGGAATGCTACCAGAAAATGTTCCTAGGGGAACCATTAGCTCTCAGGAAACCATCCTGGTGGTTATTTCCTACAACTATCCGGTACTAAAGCCCCAATATGTAAGGAAATGAAAGAAGCTGCAAAGAATATTGCAGCAGAAAGAACCATTTACCGGATCAGGACAGTTTCAGCTTCAGTAAAGAAGGTTTTAGGACGTCGCAGAGTGTCCAGCAAGCACCAGGACTGTCTCTTCCTCAGGAATCAGCTGTAGAATCGTGTCACCACCAGTGCAGAACTGCTCAATATAGGCAGCAGGTAATTTCAAGTGGATCTGCACACACAGCCAGGCCAAGACTTTAGGACAACAACCTTATGTAAAGAAATACAGCAAAGAAGCCACTTCTCTCCAAGAAAACATCAAAGATGTTTGCAGACTGAAAGCACAAGGATTGGAAGAACAAGCCCCCTTCCGACTGTTTGGGACATCTGGAAAACCGATTGTCCAGAGAAAAAAAAGTGAACGCTACCATGAGTCCTGCTTCGTGCAAACAGTGAGGCATCCTGGGACCATCCATGGGGGTGTTAAATTGACCCCAAACATATCCTTGATAACAAAAATTGTATAATATAATAATATAAGACATTAAAACACCGAAAAATATATATTTCTTTTTCAATGATTGAATTCTATGTCAATCAGTGAGATTTTATGGTGATCTGCTAATTTGTCCAAAGTCGTGCAATAAGTATTCCAGATATATAAGGGGTTTTATTTAAAGGGCTATTTAACAAGTCAACAAAGAAGCAAAGTTCCTGACTTAAACCTTTGTAAAAAAAAAAAAAAAAAAAAAAAAAAAGTTTTTTTTTTTTAAAAAGGGGGAGGGGGGGGGGGAAAAAACCTTCATATTCTGGGAGTTTAAAATGCTGGGGGGTTAAATTGTTTTTAATTGCTGTTTAAATTGCCCTAGTTGGTAAAAATGATTTTTGAAAATAATTTATTCGGTTGTGTACACTATTCAAGGTGTAAGTAATATATGTTGTATTTTTAGATTTGTTATAAAGTGAGGCGAGAGAGAAAACTTGCATTTCATCTGAGGCCAAAATTCTTCTTGCACTTTGCTTCCTCCAAAATTTCATGTGTTCCTTCTTTCACTATGTCCTATAATTCTCGGTCGTATTCCCCATAATTTTGCCCAATTTTTTTTCTGTCTTTCCATTCTTTTCTCTCTTTTCTCTCCTTTCCGGCCATTCCATTGTTTCCAGGGAATATTCTGCATTGCCAAACTCAGTTAGAAAGGCGTATGTTAAGTTGTGAAAGATTGATGTGCCATTGACTCGGCCGGTCTCTTGTCTTGCCATAGGCTTAAATCATTCATACAAACATTTTAAGATGTTTCTTTTGAAGTCAAAGGAGGCGCATACATTTATTTAGACTATAGGTTTAGTGTTGATGCATTTAATGTGTCTGAATCATTAAAATTTCGCTTATTAGAAGTGCAACACGAAGAAGTTCTGATTTACTCTCTGTCAGAAGTACAAGCTTACAGCCTACAGGGAGTTACAGTTTTTTTGTATTATATTCTCCAAAGTAGGCTGCTTTAGCTCTGCCTTAACAATAACCACACAGATGTGAATACCCTAAGGAATAGCTTGGCTGAGATTTATTCCAGAGTCTGTTCTGGTAGGTGGGTGTGTGTTGTGTTGTGCTGTGCAGAGATTGGGGACTAACCGTACCCCACAGCGCTATACCACGAGGCAGGACATTCTATCCGGTCCGCCATTGATCTCAGAAAGTGACTGGTGTGTATAATGCAATTTATCAAATCAGCATCTGTCATCCTCATGGGACACTCTGACACGATGCAAATTCACTTCACACCATCCAATAAAACATCCTATCAGCCTCAGCCATTAACATGATGGACTGCCCTCCGGTAAGTAGGATTGTGGATCACAACAAGGACTTTTATAAAACACTAAAACAGCTGGACAAACTCATAGCTCTCATTTTTGAGGTTATTCTTTTGGCTTGCATGTTCAGGATGTTCAGTAAGCTCGCCCTCTCCCCGCCCACCTGTCCAATCCTAGGTTAAGAGCATGCAGGAATGTCCACAATGCAAGGACTATTAGCTAAACCGTTCAGCTACCAGAAACTTCCTTCCATATTTGGACCCAAAGTGCATGGATTTGAAAATCCAGGCCTCTTCCCGTCTCTCTCTGCCTTCTATCTCAACTCAGTATTTACAAGAGTACCACGTGGCCATAAAACACACTGAAAAATAACAAAGAACAAAAAAAAAAACCTGCTGAATTCAAACATGTGATTAAAAAAAAATAGAAACTCAAAACAGACTACAAGTCACAAGTCATTTGCATGATGAAATTTTATTTGAATTCATTAAAAACAGATTGATGCTTATATTGCTGTACGGTTCAAAAGTTTAGGGTAAGTAAGCTTTTGTTTTAATACTAAATTAGTAACTTTTATTCAGCAAAAATGCACTATATTGATCAAAACAAGTGGCATTTATGATGTTACAATATATTTATAATTCAAACAAATGTTGTTTTATTCTTTAAATTCATAGAATCACGAGTAAAATCTATCACATTTCCACAAAAACATTAAACGGCACAACTGGTTTCACTTTATAAGAGGAAATGTGGGCACCAAATCAGCATATTTAAATAGTTATTGAAAATGAAATATAATATGACACAGTCGACTAGAGTAATGGCTGCAGAAAATTTTATCATCACTGAAATAAATTACATTTTAAAATATAAAAATAGAGTAGTTATTATAATTATATTATAATAATGTATTATGACGACACTCAGCTAGTAATACTACAACTGAATCATTTAGTTTAGTTTTAGTTTTTTTCCTTATTTTTTATATACATATTTTTAATAAATAAACTAGGCGTGCAACTTAATGATGCAATCGATAATAAAATAAATCGACAATGAATTTCAAAACCGACTAATCGGGTCTGTGCACTGTCATCGGAAAACCACCATGACTTAACTTGACAGCATTTACCAACCCGATCTCACGACCAAGTCGTACAAATTCGACGAATGATTAAAAAGTGGCTAATTCGGAACAGTTCATACGACCTCACTCGTACGAATTAATACGATTTTGCTAAATCGTACATATTTTACGAGTTGGCCAATTCGTATGAATTCGTACGAATGACCTACCCCTTACCCCGCCCCTAAACCTAACCATCACGTGGGTTTAGACAAATCGTACGTATTAGTATGAGTGAGGTCGTACGAATTAGTACAAATTAGCCACTTTTTAATCATGCGTCGAATTCGTACGAATTGGTCGTGAGATAGTGTTGGCATTTACACATAAGGCATAGCAACACAGAACCAATCAGTTATATTTGTTTTCGTAATCGCTTACATAAAATACAGTGCCTCTATGCTGCAACATTAAGCTGTCCATTTAATTCACCTTTTCTTTCGGAAGTAGCTTCTGTGGTGCCATCGAAGTGTAAAGACGGTATTATGTAAAGCTGTTAACATCTTTTGACCTTAACATTCCAGCTTGCCCAGTAGCCCAAAAAAAGACCCAGATTCGGACAGCTGTGAGCGAGGGCTGCCACTGTTTTGCAACATGGCACATGTGACTGTTTCCCATAGGTCAGACTCTTAAACAGAATGACTGAGTAAAACATGACCCAAAGCCATCATAGGTCATCAATGTTTTTGCAACAAGCAAAACAAATGCACATGTGTGTGGAGTATAAACCAGGCTTTTAGCTTCTATATAAATTTCACTCAAACCCACCCAACACAATTTTCCGTTTAATGGCATGTCTGCGCTTTCAGCCCTCTTTTTAAGCCGTTAGGGCTCTAATGCTGCAGGACAATGCATTAAATCCTTTGTTTGAACTTTTGTAATTTGTTATCATTCCATCTCTTTTTTTTTCCATTATCCGAAATAGGACGATGATATAACTTCAAACCATAATGAGCAATTGGCCAGCTTTGAGGCCTTGGCTGGATATTTCTATGTAAAGTGTCAAGGGCAGTGATCTAGGAAGCCCTGGCCCCAAACAGCATCCATGCAGAGCTGCAGGACAGCTGTAATCTCACGCTCTCCCATCTCTTTCTAGCCAAAATTTTGGAACAGAGCAGGCAAGCACCCCAGGAAAAAAAGGCTTTTGCTGCTGAGCTCTTTGGATTCAGCATGATCCTTCTTAGCTCTCGCTGGAATACCTCGGATCATCCCAAACTATCCAATGATGCGTCAGTTAGGAGTTCTTTGAAAATATAAAACTCTATCCATGATAATTTGTATTTTTGGAGTGCTTAATCCTGTTTGTCAGGGTTTAGGCTTATAATGGCACAAAACAGCCATGGCCCCTAATATAGCCGGTAATACAGTCTTCTATTTCCGCCCATGTTTGGTGATGGGGGGATACAGAGGAAATCTTTGACTTACTTTATCCACACTTCTCTGGGGTGTCGCATCTCTGACTCACTTCAGTATATGACCAGGCTCAGAAATTAGAAACAGATATAAACATAAACATGCAAACAAAGATAAAAGTCTGTGAAGTTTTTGAATACAGATGATGAAATGTCACCATAATACAGTACATTAAAGGGACAGTTCACCCAAAAATGAACACATAAGGTGACCAGGGTCTGCCCACACATAAAAAGGGTTCATACAACATTTTTTTTTTTTTAAATCTTCTGAAGTTATTGAAAGCATTATGTAAGATGTTATTCGCTGATAATCTCCCCCGCTGCTGTACCTCTCAGTTGCACTTGCATATATTGGTGCATGCACTTTATATTTTTTTATATTTCACTTTAATTTTACACATTTAATGTATGGCTTTAGAGGGTTTGGAATATAATGAATACTTTTCAGAGTGATTTTTTTTTTTAAGTTTTGATGGATTTTAGAAGTGTGGACATTCTATCAATCTTTTCTTTGCACAAAAGAAAGAAACTCATATGGGTTTGGAACAAAATGAGCATCAATAAATGATGGCACAATTTTCATTTTTGAAGTAAAATATAAAAAGTAATTAAAAATGTGAAGCACTGTGCTTAGTATAATGATGTGGTATTTGTACTGAAATTGTCATTTTCCTTTAAATTTTATAATTAATAAAACAATAAAATTTAAAATTTATCTTATAAGGCATGGAGACACAACAGTAATTCCATGAAAATAAAACAAATCAGAGTTTGCTGTTCAGCTAAATAAATCTCCATTAGACTAAATAACCTCTAACTCACAGAATGGATGTAAATGCAATATATTGATCTGAAAATAAATAGCAACAGTGACTG